ACATATGTAGATGTTTAATATAACATGTATTTCTCAGTTTGACAGTGCTAAGTGTATCTGTATTCCATCTTAATAATAACGATCCTATTAGTTACAAAACATTCAAACATTTTGGCCAAGACTGCATATTATTGTTGGAATATCTTTATTACAATATAATTAACAATTTTTAATTTTAAAAGAGGAATAGGGATCATCAAAGAAATACAGAAACAAGTTGAATCAAAATGCAACCATTATATTTTCAAGCCTACAACTAGGGACTCTAAAAATAGTGAACAAATTAGGCTGGAAATAATGTCTACATTCTTTTCTCAAGCTAGAAATCCCTATTTTGACTCCATGTCTACAGTACTTATCAATTTTAGTGGAGTCAAAATAGAAATTTGAGACCTTAGTTGTAGGCTTGAAAATATAATCTTTGCATTTTGATTCAATTTGTCTGTGTACTTTTTTGACGATCCCTATTCCCCTTTTTATATTAACAATTATTATCTTGCTTTTAAGTTTTTTATGTCCATTTATGGAGAATACATTTTAAGCTACATATTTGCACATGCATGCATGCAGTTGTCCGCGGACTTACAACGCTAGAATCCGGGTTTCGATACCTGTGGTGAGCAGAGGACAGATAGCCCATTGTGTAGCTTTGTGCTTAATTACAAACAAACAAACAAAGCGTGCAGTTGAATGTTACATGTTTTTCAACAGTTTGCTGTTGCATTGGCTTTTTTTTTAATGCAACCATTATTTACTGAGCCAGGTTGTTTTGTGTAAACATGTGTTTAAGAAGCGAAGTACGAAAATCAGTAAAATGAATCACCACTCACAAGTGTAGAGAAATCTATTATGGTAATCGTCTACTGTTAGAAAACCACGTAGAGAGAAAGCACAACAGCGAACCTGAGAAGCAATGAAAAACAGCGAACTCGAGAAATAGTGAATCCTCAACGTGGCAGTTTCCAATTAATGCGCGATAAGTTGCGAATATTACTTTTTTAACGTTTCATTACACTAGTTAATTCTCTAGGTTATTAAAAGAAGTTCTCGGCTCTAACAATAACTGAAATTGTGGCTAAGTCATCAAATCTCTTTTATGATACAGTTCTATTTATTATTCTCGGTAATGTGTAATGATGAACTTTGCAAGCCATTAATTACATATAAGCCTTTTCCTGTAAATAGTATTGTTCTAGTTACTCAGAATTTCACCTTAAAGTTTCATAAGCAGTACATATTCATCAAACTGAGAATGCCTTTAAAGCGCCATTTAGTGCGAGTTTTGAATGTTGCCTGATTATTATTGAACTTAAAAGTTACTAATTCTAAGTATTAGTCAGTCATGCGAATCCGCCGGTTCGGCGCTGTGTATTTCACTCTGACTAGCTTCTCCACACTGCCTTTCATCTGTGACTGATCATCTAGATCCCCTTGCATTCTTCTTCTCGTCGCCATCTCCTTCACGCCATACTCCCATCTTCTTTTTTTGACCTTCCTCTTAGTCATTCTCCATGGAATTGCCATTTTCCTGTCTTTGTTGACGACCATCGTCTATAGATGTCTCTCCCAAATCATACACCGATCCTCTGCCAGTTCACACAATCTCCTTAATCCAGTTATTCTTCTTGCCCCCGTCTCCGTTATCAACTTATTCCTAAAATCCGTGTTAGGTACCTACTATCGAAACGATCTTGTCTCCATCTCGGCTGTTTTGTTCATGGCCAACTTTCTGCCCCATATAGTGCCGCTGATATACGGCAGCATTACGCACTTTGATTTGGTCTTTACACTGGCATCATTTAGCTTTCATTGTACCTTACTCAAGTAATTAAACGTTACTCCTGCTAGTGCCAACTGTTGTCGTACATTTTTCTTGCAGCCGCCTTTTTCTTTTACGTCAAACACACACACATACAACTGTCAACCTTCTAAATGCTTTTAATTCCAAGTTCCGTCCCCTCTTTCGCATTTATCCTATTCTTCGTAACTTTCATCCATTTTGACACACTTTCCAGCAGAAGTTTTCATTTTTATCATTGAATCTACTGAGGAGAGTTGTTTAACGCGTTATAGATATTCTAAGCAGTAGTGCATCGTCTGTAACTCTAGATCTTATCTATCGTGGTGTCTTACATGTTCTTGTCACTTGGCTTCTTTGTCCGCCTTGCGCCTCACGTAATCCATAACAACATTGAACATGCATTACGACATAATACACCTTAAGGACACATATATTTATCGATGTTTTACTTGTGTGACGAGCTAATCTCGTCACCAATATACAAGATACGATCTATCGTAGATAGATTATTTTGTAGAACAGTTACAACGTTTCTATCACTGGTGCGATCATTCTTCAGTACACAAGTTTTAACGGTAATAAAGGTTTTAGTATTTACCGTTAAAACTTGTGTGCTTGAGAAACGTTGTAACTGTTCTACAAAATAATATTTCGTATTGTAAAAGCTGTAACTTGTAATAAAATAATACTTATAATCAGTAAGTCAATTCAAAACGAAACTATAAATTAACATGACTGTTCTTTCCTATGTCCCAAAGTTTCAAGTTTCAATTCCGATTAGGACAAAATGTAATTCATTGCGTAGTAGATGCAATACTACCCATTTAAGTTTGTGATTTAAAACATACGCTATAAAAATGGTGGCCACTTGTAGAAAGTTTTTTTTGGAAGTAATATTCATTTTTATGTATTTTTAGGTAGTTCAGCACGAGTGTTTTTCAATGGGTTCACTTTTATGTCTTTATGATTATCAGTATTGAAAAAAAATATTAGGGATTATATTATTATTAATCTTTTTGGTTTTCAAATTGAATCGCATACCAACACTGCAGAAAAAGTTTTCACAACTATCAGGATATTAATTAACGATAAATAACTAAAGCAGTTACAGAAATAGTAGTTATCAAAAATTACGTTATATCTATAAACACTCTCTTCCCTAACAACAGCAACATAACCATACTTTAAAAATGTAAAATACTGTTACGTCTCCGTTTGTTAATTGATTTTCCGTAAATTCGTTCCGACGAAACTTTAGCGACACAAGTCCTTTCTTAAATAAAACT